GCGGGCCTACGGGGATTGAAACGGGGCCAACGGGGGCTGAAACGGGGCTAGCGCGGGCCGACGGGGCCTGAAACGGGGCTAGCGCGGGCCGACGGGGCCTGAAACGGGGCCGACGGGGCCTGAAACGGGGCCGACGGGGCCTGAAAACGGGGCTAGCGCGGGCCGACGGGGCCTGAAACGGGGCCGACAGGGCCTGAAACGGGGCCGACGGGGCCTGAAACGGGGCTAGCGCGGGCCGACGGGGCCTGAGAGGGACTAGCGCGGGGCCGACGGGGCCTGAACGGGGCCGCTAGGGAGAGCGGGCGTGGGGCCGACGGGGCCTGAACGGGGCCAGCGCGGGGCCGTCAAGAGGGGCCTCTAGGGGCGTGACACGCCGAGGCGCCCTAGGGCACAGGTAGGTAGGTAGTTACATAGTGGTCGGCCCTTAGAAAATTTCGGTCCTAGGAAGGACCTGCTCTATACCATGTTGGAATAACTGAACAGGAATGAATGAACTAGCAGTGAAAACAGTACAAGTACCTAACCCTAGAATTGTGTACCCCCTATAGGCTAACCCACTGTAGTCTAAACTAACACAACATATATAATGTTTGACAGATCCCTCAGCGAGCGCGGCTGGCGAATTTGCCGATGGTTGAGGTCGGCGGGCGGTATTGAACCATGCACCCCCATACGCGCAGCATGGAGGTATCCCCTTTGGTCCCGGTCCATTTGACGTGCGGGGACAGATTGCCGGTGATGGCGGTGGTCGAGAGTAGGTTGTGCACTCGTACTGCGTGGTGCATTGCGTAGGTCCAGTAGATCGGCGGCAATTTCGACTGCTTCATCAGCGCGCGCACCTTCGTCATTAGCGTGCGGCTCGTCCGCTCAGCTACGCCCTGCTGCTGGTGCGTGTAGGGGAGAGAAATATGCTGCTCGATCCCCTTTTGCGTGAGGTAGGTTTGCATCTGGTTACTCCTGAATTCTGCCGCGCCGTCAGATTGCCAGATTTTCAACTTCTTCCCAGACTGTCGCTCTGCGTGCGCCAGCCAGAGGCGAAACACCTCGTAGGCTCTGTCGCGTTACTCCACGTTCACGACCCACACATAGCGCGTTCCAGCGTCGATGAAGGTGAGCGTATACATTTCGTCCTCGGTTCCGCAGTGCCCCACGTTCAGGAAATCGCGGTACGCCTTGTGTAGCTTGGGGTAGCAATTCGTTCCAGGTTCGAGCAGCAGGAACGGTTGGTGGCTCAGCGCAGCTTCGGGGCAGACGGTGCAGTTGCGCGGATGTGTCGCGCCTCTCACTTCGGAGCCATCAGGGTGCAGGAGTGCGCCAGGAGCGAAGACGCCTGCGTCGGTGCAGTTTTTCAGCGTCGCACGTGAAGGGTGTCCGAGGCGCTGGTGCCAGAGAGTATCGTCGGCGCGAAAGCCGGAGGTGCGTATGTAGCGTGCGCGTGCTTCCTCACGGTCTTCGTCCGGTACAGGAGCAGGTTCTGCTGCTACTCTCTTTGCTTCTTCTTCTTCCAGCGCGGTGGTCAGCATCAGCGCCAAGAACTCTCTGTCACGAATCTCAGAGAGCGGAATGTTGGTCCCGGGGATCGTGCCAAGTACGAACGCCGGCTCGCGTGGCTCAGGGGCAGTACTGTAGACGATGCGACGCGGGGTTGACGGCTCGTTGCCCCAGATGATGGTGTCCCGTGGATCGCGACGCTGGGGGTTGTCAGGAGGAGGTGGTGCGAGTGGAACGTGGCGCGGGGGACGGCCAAGAGGAACGACTGTAGGTGTTGCCTCAGTTTCCTTAGTTTCGTCCTCTCCCCCCTCTCGTTCTTCACGGAAAGTACCCCAGCCGGTATTGTCGGCGCTAGTTGCGGCGCCCCATCCGCCGCTCGCGTTGGCCCAGGTTCCGCCGGTGTCTCCCCAGCCGCCAGTGTCACTTGTTCCCCATCCTCCAGCGCTTCCCCACCCCCCTTCATTGGAGGCACTTTCTTCAGCCTCGGCTCCCCAGGTGGCGCAAGCGAAGGTTCCACGTGCTTCTGCGAGGCTTTGCTGTCCTCAGCTTCCTCTTGCTCCGCGGTGAGTTTCTTCGATGAGTCGCGTTGATGAGAGTAAATGGCCAAGAACCTCTCGTAGGTGTAGGGTCGCGGCTCGCCATGGGCATCAAAGGTGGCGACGCCGGTTCCGCGCAGCATGCCTTGAAGGTGCTGTGAGGGGGGACCGATGAGGGGATGCTCTGGCGTGCCGAAGATGCCGCGGGTGGTAACTTCAAGCTCGAGCTGCGTCATCCCTTCCTCTGGGGCCACGTGGTGCTCTGCTTCAGCGATGGCGGCGAGTCCGCGGCCGGCAATCGCGCTTGTTGATGTCGTCGGCGTGTGACAATCCCTGCAGATGCCATCTGGGTCGGGGTTGTGTAACGCCGTTTCGCGTGGGTGGGGATGATGCGGCATCCACGGTCTGCCGTCAGGGTGCTTCCAATCCCTGCGGTGGATGTGCTCGAAGCGCAGTGGCACGAGATCAATCAACTCGTGCGAGTCGCCGCTGCAGTCGGAATGTCGAAATCTAGGACGTGCACTCCATTTTCGGAGTGCGCACGTCCGATCTACATGCGGGGAAATGTGCTCGATTCGTAGTGCAGCATGATGTCTCGTGTCTCGCAATCCGTGCTGAGGTCGACGCCGCAGTCCATGAGCTGTGCGGCGGACAGGAGGTTGAAGTGCAGGTTCTGAACGATCAGCACATCGTTAAGCGTGATGTGCGTGCGGCTTCCACGTGCTTTGAGCACGACGATGCCTTGTGCGCTTGCGCGCAGGTGCGTGCTGTTCGCCACATTGACGTAAGTTACTGTAGGGGTGGGGACGGCGTTGGATATGTAACGCTCGGAGCCCACCATATGCTAGCCGCAGCAGCTGTCCAGGTACCAGGTGTTGTAGCGCTTGTTGTCGTCACGTGCGAGCAGCGCCAATCGCGGTGTGAGGATGTGCGGAGTGTCGAACTTCAGAAATTGCTTGCGCGAGAGCCAATCAGGTGGCGCCACCCGCATGTCTGGTATGTGCGGGGGACTTTCAAGCAGCGGCACTGGGAGGTTCCAATCCTGGTCGTTGTCGTCGTTGTAGTCGCGGCGCGGACTGAACAAGTTGTTGTTGGTGAACGCGCCGATAGGGTGCGGTGCTGGCTCAGGTAAGGGTGAGCGAGCACGACGACGACGTGACTCGCCTGTCATGGCCATGTTGCTCATGACGTTGCGCGTAAGGGCAGTTGATGGCTGCTGCTACTGATGCTGAACGGTTGAGTTCAGATTGCGCGCGGGTGGGGGTTGATACCCTTGGGTTGGACGCACGTCGCCTCGTGCGTCTTGTCGGCCGGACCAGTTGCTCGGATTGGTCTGGTGAGGGCGGGATCAGAACTTACATCGATCCGCCAAATGCCCGAAGTTTCTGCAGATTTTGCAGTAGAGGCACCGCGGTCGTCGCTCTTCGTTGTTGTCGGCGTAGAAGGCGAGCCGTTCGCGTTCTCGTCGTGGCGCTGGTCGCTGCTAATCCATATCCCGTTGTTCGACGAGGAGGGCGGCGCAAAGGGCGGCCTCCGAGATGACCCCTTGCTGTCGGAGGAGCGCCTTGCAGGGCCGCCACTCCGGGCCAAGCCCTTGAAGCACAATGTTCACGAAGATTTCCTCGGAAATCGAGCTTCCCAACTTCACGATTTGATCGCGAAGGCTCCGACAGCGGTTGATGTAGCTGTTGACCTTCTCCCCTGAGGTAATCTTAGTTTCCAGCAGTTGCTGGAGTAGTCGGCTCGAGGAGACGGAGTCCTTGGGCTGATACATGCCGTTCAGGTGGTGCCAAGCGTCGAGGGCTGGGGTAGTCGATGTCTTGTATGAACGAATGTTCAGCTGCTCCGCCGGCGACATATTACACAGAAGAATACCGTACGCCATCAGGGCCTCGTTATAATAGCGAGTCCTTGAGTCGTCGGTGTCCTCAGCAGGTCCCGAGTAGCTCCCGTCGAAATAATGATAAATCTGCGCGTTTTGCAGCAGCAGCTCCAGCTCGAAGCTCTAGGTGTAAAAGTCTTTGCCGTCAAAGCACACACTTGTCTTTATTTTTTATACGCTCAAAAACCTTGATTGCGCGGAGAGAATTGCTTCGTCGCTGGGACAGGGAGTCTTGGGGATTGAGCCGTTCGTATCGGAGAAGCCTTGCGGGGCGGAGTTTTGGCCGTTTGGGGCCGGTTGAGTGGGTTGGGAAGAAGTTCCCGCATCGCCATTCCGCAATGTCTGGAGCCCTTGCTCCAGGCTCGTGAGTCGCTGAAGCAGTTGTGCGAGGACGGCGGAAGGAATTGTCGTCGTTTCCTCGTTTGTCGCAGCCGGGTTGGGCTGCGCTTCAGCCGTCAGATTCGTCTGACCTCCAGATCCTCCGGCCATTCTTACACGTGATTGTGTGCCGGACGCCACTTTCCGAATGTCGCAGATTTCAGAGATGGCGGTGCGAAGGATTCCTGAGTCGCTCTCATACCATGCTGCAACCAGAAGTTGATCGTGGCCTAGGATCTACTCAGGAAGGTTCTCACGCAGAGAAGTGGTGTTGATGGGCCCTTGACCTCAATAGCACAGTGAATGTAAATGCTTGAGATGATTAAGACATGCAAATACAACGATATAAATAAGAGTACAGGGGAATATGAATCAACCTAGCTAGCCATGTACTCTAAGGGGTACATTCCCTTATTCAAATACATTCCCAACTGTGCGGCGCGAACAGTTACGAAACTGTTCCCGCCGAAACCATCCTGCCTGCAGCTGCCTGATGCTGTCTGCTCCGACGGTTTTGATGTGTTCCAACCGTCTGACGCTTCGCGTTCATTCGCGATACTGCGTGCTTCTCTTTGCTGCGGTGAGGAGTGCACAGTAATGTTCAAGTATTACTATTCGTAACAAATTCTGTCTGGCTATCGCATTTATTGGACGTACTCAAAAGGGCTCATCCTATTGAACCCCTGTTTGGTGGTACATTCTAGTTTCGCATGCTACAATCCCTTGCTTGCCTCCCTGTAATCCGCCCCCACAGCGTCTGCCACTGACGCAAATCCATCACGAGCGAGGCATTCGGCCAATTCTTTCTGCCAATTGGGAGGGTCCAAGTTAGGGATGGAAGGATAGGCGGCGGCGGGGAGGGGGGGGGGAGTGTTGGGGGAAGGGGATGATGACAAATGGAGGGAAGAGAATGGAGAAGGAGAGTTGTGAGCAGCTTGTGAAAAAAAAAAACTAGTGGGCAGTTTCTTAAGCCTTCAGAAGTGCTGGGTTAAATGCAAAGTGCCCACGCCACTGTAGCTTCCATACTTCGAAATTTGAGCCCAGGTATAGGAAAAGGGCAGTAAGCCCTAGTGCAGGGTGACCTGCTTTGACTCACCCTCAATTGGTTTGGCTCACCTTGATTTTCGGCACCACTCCAGCTCCCTCAAAGTTCATGCTGACCTGCCTTGGCTCGGCTTGACTCAGCTTGACTTGATTTCGCTCACCTTGATTTTTGGCACCACCCCAGCTCCCTCGAAGACCATTGAGGTGTACAGCTGGACCAATGAGGCCCCCGCCCGGATCTTCTTATAAGCATCCTCGCCACTGTACCAGGGACGCAGGGGAATGATGGGAACAATGAAAGAGACATCAATGAGAACCGCTTTATAAGAAAGAAGACAGACATGAATTGCTCATGAGGTGGCTTGGCTGGGATGGGATGGTGGAGAAAGAGGGAAATGGAAAGCAAAGATTGATTTAGGGGGTAAAGTAAGTGATGAGACGTTCGAAAAGGCTGGGTTGGGATAGCGGAGACTGGAGGAAATGAATAGCACAAGTTGATTCAGGGGATAGCGAGAGGCGAAGATCTTATGGTGTTGGGGTAGGGGTGTCACTTGGATGAGAGAGAGAGAGAAGGGGGAGAGAGAAGGGGGGTGTGGGGTGGGAGGGTAGGGAGGAAGAGGTATGGAAGACAGGTGGGAAGATGCTGGGGAGAGAAAACAGAGTATGTAGGAGAGGGGGGGAGAGTGTAGGAGCGTGGGAGGGAGAATGGAGAGAGAAATGAGATTAGGATGGTGGAAAAGGAAGTAGATACCTGTAGATGCCACCACAGCCGATGATGGGAATTTGACCCTGAGGGAGGAGAGGGCGAGAGAGGAGGGTAGGCTTAGAGGGATTGACTGTGAGAGATGAAGGGAGGGAGAGTGCAGGGGAGGAGGGGGGGGGGGGGGGACTTGTAGATGCCACCACAGTTTATAATGGGGATTTGTTCAGACATGATGGGAGAAGCAAGGACTAGAGGTTGGGAAAGAAAGGTACAAAAGCCATTGCTAGAAAATGGAATGAAGAACAGCACAAGGAAATGCATGCAGAGAGTATAACATCTGTCATTGAACAGTTATTTCTATATATGTGTATACTACATCAACTGTACATCTTGTATAACATTTGTGTATATTATAGCATTTAGACACAAAGTCTTAGTAGAGTAGGGAACAAGGATCTTCACCTCCATTAGAATTTGCGCACCTTAGTAAGCGAGTACATCTGGCGCAGCACAGCAGTGGAGAGCTCAAAAAGAGGCTTGCCGCTGAGGCCCCCCACCTCATCCGCATTCACCAGACCCAGGATGCTGTCAGGACGGGAGATGGTCGTGTTGCTCACCACCTGGTGGGTGTGGGGAGGGATGGAGGGCGGTGGGGAGGGGTTGGGGTGCAGATATTGGAGAAGGTCTCCACATTCACAAGGCCCACGATGCTGTCAGGGCGTGAAATGGTGGAGGGTGTTGGTGGGCCCACGATCCTCCTGTTCGTACGTGCTCCTCACACGGTAAGGGCGGGAGGATGGGTGTTGGTGGGGTGACGGGGAGGGTGGCGAAAGAAACAGGGAGGCCTCCTGCACGGCCTACAATCACTATTTTCTTTAGTCAACTTAAAAGTCTATCGTGGGACCACAAAGTGGAGTTAAACCACGAGAAAAGCTTTCTCTTTTGACAGAAACACCACTTACCGGGCACTCCATGCTCGTTATAAGCTCACTCGCTAGCACACCAGTCCGTCAATCTTGGGAAAGAGGGTGACAGCCAGAATATGCGACATGTTCTCTCTGGTCAGATCAGGGGCTGATTTCACCAAAGAATCTAAAAAATCACTCCATCCTCACTATAAGCTCGCTCATTAACGTACCAGTCCGTCAATCTTGAGAAAGAGGGCGACAGCAGCAATATCAGACATGTCTTCAGTGGTGAGGTCAGGGGCAATCTTGAGCAGCAGAGGGGGCGGACCCTCCTTGCCCCACTCCATCTCGTTCCGCGCTGCTTGCACCTGGCAGGGACAGAGAGTGGTGAGGGCAGGGAGGTGAGGTGACTTTAGTGTCCACCTGAACAGCAGCAATATCGGACAGGTCTTCGGTGGTGAGGGACTCACCCCCCACTCAATTAACCCCCACTATCTCCCGCCCCACTCCCACCCACCCCGCCACTCCCCCCTTGCTTGCCTTTCGCCTTCCCAACCCACTCACCCGCTGCAGCAGCTCCTGCAGCTGTGACTGGCCCTGCAGCTTTCTCATCCCAGTGCCCACCGCCTCCCTCCCCCCTCCACTCCCTTTCCCACTGCTCCATTTCCCTAAATGAACCCACTCACTCGCTGCAGCAGCTCCTGTAGCTGCGACCAGCCCTGCAGTTTCCTCAGCCCGGGCGTGTTGGGGGAGGACACATTCACCACCAGCACGTCTGCAAACTGCCCCAGCGCGTGCACGCCCTTCACATAGTCCCCTGCCGCATCCTCTCACTCACCCCCCACTCGCCTTGTTCTTCCCCAGGTTCACCGCCAACACTCCTTCCCGCACCCTCTCTGGCTCCTTTCCCCTCCCCCCACCACCCCGTTCCCCCCTCCCCCACCTCCCTCCTCCCCCCCCTACTCACTCACCCGCTGCAGCAGCTCCTGCAGCTGCGACCTTCCCTGAAGCTTCCTTAGGCCGGGCGTGTTGGGGGAGGACACATTCACCACCAGCACGTCTGCAAACTGCCCCAGCGCGTGCACGCCCTTCACATAGTCCCCTGCCGCATCCTCGCTCGTCTTGTTCTTCCCCAGATTCACAGCCAGCACTCCGTCCCTCACTCTCTCCTCCACCACGTTCTCTTTTTTTGGAGCCTGCCCGTCCGCTGCCCGTTTCTGCTCCTGCGCTGCCTGCTGCTGCCGCCGAGCCTGCCACGCGCCGAGCCTCTCCGCCACGTCAGCGATTCCTGCGCTGTTGAAGCCGTACCGGTTTATCACAGCTCTGGAGGGAAGGGAGGGATGGGGGAAGCGGGTTTGGATGGGAGCGAGGGTTTAGGGATGGGGGAGAGCGAGCAAGAGGAAGGTGACAGGATGATGCTGGAAGTGAGGGACGATAGGAACAAGGATCAACACACCACGTCAGCAATGCCCCGTTGTTGCGGCGGGGTCCGGATGGGGGAGGTGGAACATGGGAGAACACGACGGGAGAGCGAATCAAGGGAGTAGACCAGCCTTTCCCAGTCCGGCCCTTCTCCCCAGCAGTTTCAGGCTTCACGGTTTTGGGTTTCGGGCTTCAAGCAATTCACAAACTTCTGCTAGGTGATTGGAGGAAACAGGACCTGTGAGCCGGAAGCAACGGGGTTTGGGGTTCCCTGGCTGCGGGAGGGGAGTCACACTCCCGATCTCAGTAAATCCCAGGCCGAGGGCGAACATGGAGTCAACACAGCGCGCGTCCTTGTCAAAGCCCTCTAGTGTTAGGGGTTTGGTCAGGCTTTCGGGTTTAGGGCTCACTTCTGCTCTGTGAGGCGGAAGCATCTTGGCTTGGGGTTTCCAGGCTGCGGCAGTGGAGTCACGCTGCCGATCTCGGTGAATCCCAGCCCGAGGGCGAACATGGAGTCAACGCAGCGCGCATCCTTGTCAAACCCCGCCGCCATGCCCACGGGGTTGCTGAAGCGCCGCCCCCACACCGTGGTGGCAAGGGAGGGCGGGTCGGGGCGGAAGTCGCGTGGAGTGAGGCCCCACTCGCCCGACAGCACCGCCAGCTGGTGCGACGTCTCCGGGTCGAGCAGGCGGATGAATGGCGTCATGTAGTCCGTTGCCGCGAATGAGAGCGCGCTGGGGTGGGCATGGGGGGAGGAAACAAGGGGGAGATGGAGAAGGGAGCCTCAATAAGGGGTCGAGCAGGCGGATGAATGGCGTCATGTAGTCCGTTGCCGCGAAGGAGAGCGCGCTGGGGTGTGGGGGAGGGCATGGGGGGGGTATGGAGGGAAGGGATATGGGGGGCATGGGGAAGGAGGGTGAAAAAAGATCCTCAACGAGAGGTCGAGCAGGCGGATGAATGGCGTCATGTAATCCATTGCCGCGAAGGAGAGCGCGCTGTTGTGAGCATTAAGGGGGAAACACGGGGAGCCACAGAAGGAGAAAAGAGAACGCAAGAGATGCGAGGAAGCACGAGGTTCAACCCTGTGAAGGAAAAGGGTAACAGCATTGTTTAAGCTCCCAACGTTTTGCAGCCGTGGCGATACATTACTCGCTGAAAGCCATCACAGTAGCGGTGCAACCTGTTTACGACGTTGGTCGAGTCGCACCTGAAGGTCTTGGGATCCATGATGGATACCGCAACGCCCGCGGCGGCACCCGATCCGAGCGCGCACGCGGCGAGAATGCGCAGCTGCGGGGAAGAAAAGAATGTGAAACCGGAAAAAAAGGTAGAAACAGGAACGGCGGATGAATGGCGGGTTCGCAGCAAGGTGACGATTCCGACGCCTCTGGCTGACCTGCAGATAACCGAACGATTCCGGCGGATCAGTTGCGTGAAAGGAGGGGCGGTTTACATAACAAGTGGACGGAACGGCAATGAAAGGAGGGGCAATAAGAGCACTGCGGGGGAGGAACGGCATTGCATTGCCGAGAAACGGAAGAAAGACGTAAGAAAAGAAAGGGGAGCTTCCAGCCTGGGCACTTACGCGAAAGGGAATGCATCCGATTTGGAATGTTGTGCGAAAGGGAAACGCATCCTTCCCGAGTAGATCAAGATAAGATACTGACCAGATCGGGCTTGTGCTTCGGAGCGGATTCGGCGGAGGCGGAGGAGGAGAAGCGCCGAGCGCCGTACGAAGGCGACAGCATCGGGTTGACATTGACGGGCAGCACTGGGGGTTTGACGCGGCCGCACGCATGGCGGTGACCGTTACCGATGTGACTAGTTACTGCGTGGCTGCTGGCTCCTCCGCTGCACGCCACGTGGCGCTGCAGGAGAGGCTCTGCTCTGCCCAGCAGGGCTCGTGCGACCTGTCGGCTCATTGTGTCGGTTCGGCGCGGTTCGTTCGTAACGAGTACTCTTATGATGATGTGGATCACGACTACTATAAGTTCGTGCGGACGCGCCGCGGTGATGAGTGAGAGGAGGTGTGGTTCCGAGGTACGTTCAAAGACGTGGATTACAATGTACACTATGGGGTGCTTCAAAACGCGGCGATCGCACGAGGGAGACCTCGATCAACTGAAAACAAGGGTCGCGCGAGCAAGAAACGATGCCACGCCGCCGTGGAGGCTGGTAGGAGGGAGAAGAAAGAGAAGCAAGTCTGAGAACGTTGGGAGACGTAAGGTCGACAATAACCAGAGTTGGAGGAAAGGAACTAATTAGTGGCGCGTGATACAGAAAGGTGCTTCGAGTTTCTTCCACCCTTGGATTTCTCCAGCCGCCCTCGATTCTTCCCCCAACCCTCGATTTCTTCAGTCCTTCCAGCCCCAGCCCGTGAAGTAGGCCCATGAAGTTGAGGTGTATCCGAGTCCCAGCGAAATGGCCCTATTTTCGCAGGACAGCTGTGCGAAAGTCTCGAAGCGCTCGCCATTTCGACGGTGCTGATTGGATACAGCGGAAGGCATGGCAGCAGGCGAAAAGTCGACCGACATTCTGGCGAATAGGAATGGAGATACCTCCAATATGTCCGCGAAGGCGGGGACACCTGGACCTGTGCTGGACCTACCCTCCTGAAAATCCCAAAACTGCTGCCAACAAAGCTTGTGCTTGTGTCGACGCGATTACAAGAATATTCGGTTAACGAGTGCTTGCAGTGTACTTCGAAATAATGCTTACATCGAGAGAATGCTTAGACACCAGAGAATGTTGTAATTAACAAACACACAATGATGTAACCGTCATTTCATTTTCCATGCACCTGGAACAACATACAACTATTTAGATTCACAAGGCTAGAACCATGTGCAATTCCGTGCTCTTGATCGTGCTCGTGGTAGGCACATGTTGCTGCTGCGATAGTTGTTTGAACGGAACAACAGTAACATGGAGTCGCAGGGCTTGAAGTGGTCTGATGTGCCCAACGAAAGTGAGGGCCACACTGAATCTAGGACTGCTACTGAGGTTGTTGGAACAGGAACGAGGGAAGTCCCAAACATGGAATAGTCTGGCTTACAGCCCTGTGGCGCCCATCTGCCTTGCTCTCTGCACCGCCGCCCGCTTTGCCGCCACCATTCTCTGCACCTCCTCCTGGTGCCGCTGCTGTGCCTGATGGGCCTGCTGGGCCCCGCTTCCTATTGCTGCTGTGCCACCCCCCACCGCCCCAATACCAACAGTTGCGCCCCTTACTGTTGCGACCCCTCCACTCATGCTGCTGCCAACAGCAGCCTCAGCAGCAGAAGCTACAGGTGGCAGTGGTGGCACAGGTGACTGGGTGGCGACGGAATGGGGTCTGAGAGGAGGTTGAGGGAGAGGCGAGAAACGGAGGAGAGAGTGAGTGAGGGTGGGAAGATGTGGGGGACAAAAAAGGAAGATCTGGGCATCGGATATTTGGAATTGGGCAAGAGCGGGTGTGGTCGATAGTTGACTGGGTTGAGGGCAGACGGGATCCTAAGAGAGGCCGAGTGCAGAATCACAGAAACACGGAAACACGGTGAGGAAGCAGAGACTCCCAGTGCAGCACGTGTGCTGTGGAACACTGGAACGGGGTGCTTCTAAAGGAGGAGTGCAAAAAAAATGGAGGACATAGATTTAGTCCAGCTGAGTGCTTTCAAGGGCGGAGGGCAAAGACAGAGAAGCAGCGTACCTCGGTGGCACCGGCTCTGCACTGCCGGCTGCTTGCATGGCTCCTGCTGCGGTCGGCTCAGAGGCAACAGAGGCTTGCTGCTGGGTTAGAGGCGAAGGCGGGTGGACGTTGGAGGAGGATGGATGCACTCCAGCAGCTGGTGATTATGATGATGATTAGATTGGTGTTGGACGTAGGGAGGGGTGAATAAGAGGGAGGGAGGTTGAATGCCGGAGGGGAGGAGGGTCAATGCGAGGGAGGAGGGAGGGGAAGAGGGTGAGTGCGAGAGAGCGAATGAGCAAGAGAGGGAGGTTGAATCGAAAAGTGGAAGTCTCCACCGGGAGCCAATCAAAGAAAACCAATAACGTGGAAACGAGGCCGGGAAAGTGTGTGGTCACGCACCTGAAGTGTGTAGCCACGCACCTGAAGTGTGTAGCCACGCACCTGAAGTGTGTAGCCACGCACCTGAAGTGTGTAGCCACGCACCTGAAGTGTGTAGCCACGCACCTGAAGTGTGTAGCCACGCACCTGAAGTGTGTAGCCACGCACCTGAAGTGTGTAGCCACGCACCTGAAGTGTGTAGCCACGCACCTGAAGTGTGTAGCCACGCACCTGAAGTGTGTAGCCACGCACCTGAAGTGTGTAGCCACGCACCTGAAGTGTGTAGCCACGCACCTGAAGTGTGTAGCCACGCACCTGAAGTGTGTAGCCACGCACCTGAAGTGTGTAGCCACGCACCTGAAGTGTGTAGCCACGCACCTGAAGTGTGTAGCCACGCACCTGAAGTGTGTAGCCACGCACCTGAAGTGTGTAGCCACGCACCTGAAGTGTGTAGCCACGCACCTGAAGTGTGTAGCCACGCACCTGAAGTGTGTGATCAAGCATGTGAAACCAAAATTGCGATTGTAAGAAGCCGTGCCTTCGTGGACACAAAAGTAAATGGTCCCTTAGCTTAGCTTAAATCAACCCCTGGTTCTAAGACATCACCCTAAAGAAAATGCCTGAGCGAAACCTATATCCAACCGATGGCCGTTAGTCTTACATGCAGATGACGTGGCAGCGGAGGCAGGGAATGAAAATCCAGGTGGACCCACAGCAGGAGCAGCTGATTGCCCGCCTCCAGTACCTCCCACTGACGTGGCAGCAGGACCCGCAGCTGACGTGGCAGGCGCGTGGTGGTGGTCCCGTGGCTTGCCTGCGTGGTCATGATCCTTTTCGTCTGCATATGGTCAACTGGGAGAGGAGAGCAGGGGAACATAAGTCAGCATAATATTTTGTTCCTTTTCCGTATCCATACGTCTGTGCCACCATCCCCATTCTCTCAGCCTATCCCAAACAGAGAAGGCAGTAGCAGACTCTTTCCAAAACTCCCTAACAGCAGAGTCGTACCTTGGTGCTCTCACCTCCACCTCTTCTCTCTTCAGCTCACCCACTCTCCGCTCCTCCTCCTCCTCCTCCCTTCCATCCTCCTTAGCACAACTCCCCGCACCTGCATTCGGTGCCACTAACAACACTCCTTCCGGTCCCGCTGCTGCTGCTGTCGCTTCTGCGGGTGTCTCTCCGATCCTAGGAGTCATGCCCCCTCCTGCTACTTTGCCTTTGGACCAAGGGAGAGACGGAGGAGGGCGAGAACGATCAGCATACACCCGCCAGTCGGCGTTTGAGGCACAGCGGTTGGCGTGGTCAGGGCAGGGAGAAGGGGAGTTCAGAAGGCAAGAGGAGGGGCAGGAAGAAGGAAAGGAGGAGCGAATGGAGGGGCAGGGAGAGGGGGTTGCAGTGGTGGAGGATGAAGAGAGGGAGACGTTCTTGTATGTAGACGATGAGAGGTTCAACGAGTGCACTCAGCTGTTCAACAGAGTGAGTGGTTGCTTGCTTTTTCATCGCATATTTCAGAAAATCAACACAGCGGTTGCGCACAGTTGTTTAGAACTCTAATATTCTCTTTAGAGACTTCTCTCAAGTTGCCTTTGATCCTATTTTTCTGGACATTGCAGTTACTTTGCTACCTGCTTTCAAGGTCTTGAACTGTGGCTTATCAAAATGATCTCACTCCTAACTTCACGTTTTTTTCTCCCACTACTCTCACCTGTGTGCCTTGCCATGCCTTTTGAGTCAGCTCAGTACTCGTACTTACCCGCCTTGCTTGCTCATACCTGACTTACTCTGTTTGTCTGCCCTCGTTATCCACCCACCTGCCATCTCCCCTGCAGCATGCCCCTCGGGATCTCCTCCCATTCATGTTCAGACACGGCCGCTACTGCTCTGTCTGCTAGCTCATTTTCTTCCCCCCCCCTTCCTCCCCACCCTTCCTCCTCCTCCCCTTCTCTCTCATCCACACCTGAGCACAAAAGCACCACCCCCACCACCGCCACTGCCACCGACACTCTCCCAAACCACTTGGCCCCTATGCCACCCACATTTTCGCTCAGCCCGGCTCGGCCCTCTCTGTCCTCGTTATTAGACTGGGATCCGTTAAAGTAAGAGTAGGCTGCTGTAGAAGAGTTATGCGTGCTGTTTGACGTACGGAGCGGTTTAGGTGCTGGAAAGAGTGGTGGCAGAAGCGCTAGGAAGGAGTGCAGACAGCATGGGCGAGTGGCAATGTCAAGTGCCTGGCGGCAAACGACTCCATTGCAAGGAGGTGGGGTTGAGAGCACCGAGGTACGACTCTTCTGTGAGGGAGTCTTGGAAAGAATCTACTACTGCCTTCTCTGTTTGGGAGAGACTGAGTGGTGATGGGAGAGTGGGGACAGGAGGGAGGAAGATAGAAAAAGCATAAGACGTCTTGTGAGGGCACAGCGCCCCTGTTGTGAGAGAGTGGGTGAGCTGAAGAGGGAGGAGGTGGAGGTGAGAGCACCAGGGACTAGCGCTGGAACGAATGACTGAAGCACAGAGGGAATGACGGCGACGTTGAGACAACGGCGGCAGGGTGTTGATTCTGACTGCTAGCCGGCTGTGGTAGCAGGAGGGAGTACACAGGGTCGATTAGCAAACGCGACGAACACAAGGTTCGACTGAATGACGCAAAAATGCCTCCCTCACCTCCCATACGCGGCTCTCTCAGGCTCACCTTCGGTTCGCCGCCGCTCTCTCGCAACTTGCGGGCTAGTGTCCGCTTGAGGGTCGATTTTCGCGTATGTATCCAAGGTGACTCCCATCCTCACGATAAGCTGATCCGATTTGGGACAACGGGCGTTGAAACTAGCCGCTAATCACGTACCCGCGATGCGCTGACCGGCGCCGCCTGACGTCGGAAGCTGGCCGCGCGTCGGCCATGGAAACTCGGAAGGTAACCGTTCAAAGAAACTGGAATGGATTCTGGTTGCTGGGATCACATGATCATCCATGATGGAAACATCTGGGAAGGCGATTTCAGAATGTTATTGATGAAAGTGATTCTCGTGTCGCATCCTTTGCAGCATGACGGCTAACCCAGCGGCTCGTCATTTCGGAAATACCAGATAGCTGTACTGCAGGAGTGAACGGGCGGCAGTGGCTGTTACGTCATCAGCGAGTACCGTGAGATGTTTTTTTGTATAGCATGTCAGGTAGTATCTGATTCATCAGCTCCTAAGAAATGTGAATGAATGATTATCGTGGATTTATTTGAAATAGTCGCGTTTGACGATTCTAAGACAAGACTGTGTCACGCTGTTACATGCGGAGTAGACGAAAGAACGGGATCACGAGTTTCGCGAGAAGATCAACCGGCGGCTCCTCGACAGCCTTGTCGCAGCGCGGGATCGCACACACACGAAACACATGTGGCTGCGGAATACGAATCGTCCCAAAGTGCAGCACCTTTGAGTGGGGCGTGTTTAGAGAAGCGCGAATAGATACTGCATCGGCTTGAGATACCTCGTGTCACACTTTCACAAACCAAGACTCTCGGAGGGATGGTGTTGAACTCGCCTGAAATGTCACTCGCTAAAATAAACGATTTGGAAGTGAAGACGCTGCGTCCGACTTGTGAACACGTCCTCACGGCTTCACAACCCCACCCTTCCGTCTTCATCGTACTGCCGTGCCTCACTTCTGCTTCCACTAGATTCTAGGTTTCCCGCTTACCTCTACTGGTCCAAAAGTCGTCGCTTCCGCTGTCGTGCCATCCAGACTGCTGCAGTGCATGGAACTGTGTTTTTAGCACTTCACTCCCGTCCCGACTCTCTAACTTCTCAATAATGGCGTTTTCTCTTCTCCTTACCGTCCCTCCCCCATCGTTTCAGTGTCTCCTCACGCAGACCTCCAGACACCCTGGTTTTCCTCGTTGCAAGCACAGTGGTCCACACGTGAGCAGGATTCGCATAAGAGCGCTCATCGTTTGCTCACATTCCATCGTCCTCTCTTTTTCTGCCATACACAGCCCTTTCGGCGATTGGCACTGTCCAGAAACCCAGTCCAAAGGCTGACTAACCTATCTTAGTCTTCACCAAAATTGAGACTGATACGCCTCTGCCTTCACTTCCCAATCAATACTATCGCGGCTCGCTGGCATACGAACCGCTCGGACTCAAGCAGTCGGTATTCTTAATGGCGTGTCCTCGCGTACTCGGCCTGCTCGTCGCGGCATTCGCTGCGGCTCTGTTGCTGCTAGCGGTGCCAGCAGAGAGCAAAAGGGCGCCGCCGGTGAGAAGGGCAGTGCAAAAGGGAGTGCCGCAGTGGGAGCTTCTCGCGGCGCTTAAGGGCCTTGATAAGAAATACGCCTTCTTCTCCGTTTTCGCAGAGCGATTCTACACTGCAGGTAGGCATTGACAAAACAACGTTTATTTGTTTTCTGTAGACTGTGCATGACTGTTTTCAATCTGGGCGTGTCCTAAACATGTTCTGTTCCCTTTTTTCCCTTTTGTTGCAGCGAAATTTAAGCTAATTTCACTTGACGGCCCTGCGACCATCCTCATCCCCTCTAATATTGGCAACCAATTTATGAAGAAAAAGTGGGATTCTTACACTCCTCAGCAGCGCCTACGCATATTGAAGAATCTGATTATAAAGGGGAAATTCAGCAAGAACCGGCTTCTGTCAACTGTTCCGTTATGGCAGTTCCGCACCATGAACATGGACTTGAAGCTGATTAAAATGAATAAGATCAGCCAGCGAGAGTGTTACTTCAGGGCCCTGGGAGGGAAGTCCTTTGGACCTCTGAACATGGCCAATATGAGCCTGACAAAAAACATTCAGATTCACGGCATTTCTACCGTTCCCATTCCTCCAAATGCATGACACTGGAGTTAATGCCATGTTCCTTGTACACTAATATACCTATATTGGGATGTAATTACGGTTATGTAAGCTGGAACGTTAATAAATTTTGTGTGGAAATCAAGGTAACAAAAAGCCCACTTGGATCAGTTTCGAGTACCTGTGAGAGAGGAGTGGACTGCCAGGTCAGAGATGTTGCACAGGGCAAATCGGTCAGGGCCACCAAGGACGAGTGGAGGAAATGGTAGTGTAGATGCTGCAAATCTCAACTTGGATTAAAGAGGGGCAGGGCTTGAAGTGGCCTGTGGTTCCAAACCAATCTGAGGCATGCACTGAATCCAGGAATGCTGCTAAGGTTGCTGGAATGGAATCACAGGAACGAGGGAGTTCCCAAACATGGAGTCGCACGGCTTGAAGTGGCCTGTGGCGCCCATCTGCCTTGCTCTCTGCACCGCTGCCCGCTTTGCCGCCAGCATTCTCTGCACCTCCTCCTGGTGCCGCTGCTGTGCCTGGTGGGCCTGCTGGGACTGGTGCAGCTGGTGGGATTGCTGGGACGCTGCAGCTGACGCAGGCGGCAGTGGTGCCAGAGGAGACTGGGTGGAGACGGAATGGGGTCTAAGAGGAGGTGGGGGGAGAGAGGAGAAATGGGGGAGAGACGGGAAATGGAGGAGAGAGAGAATGAGGGTGGGTGGATGTGGACTAGGAAGGGAAGCGTTGAGAATTGGATAATTGGAATTGGGTTACATAGAAGAAACATTATGTGGGCAAGAGCGGGTGCAGGGCACAGGCGATTGGATTGAGTCTGGTGCACGATTAAGGCCGATGGGGATCCTAACAGGAGCCGAGTGTGGAATCAAGGAAACGTGCTGGGGAAACAGAGATGTCAGTGCAGCACCTGTGCTGTGGAACTGAGAGCTACCAAAGGCAGAGCGCAGCAGAGGGCTTTTCAAAGGCGATTGGGTTGAGGCAGATGGGATATAAGAGGAGCTGAGTGTGGAATCAAGGAAACGTGGTGGGGAAACAGAGATGTCAGTGCAGCACCTATACTGTGGAACAGAGTGTTTCCAACGGAAGAGCGTAGCAGAGAAATTCTGAAAGCAAAGCGCAACAGAGTTTCATTCAGTGAGGAAGCAGAAGATTCAGTGCAATGAGTGCTTTCCAGAAGGCAGAGGGTTGCCAAGGGCAGAGCGCTTTTTAAAGGCAGCGTTTCAACCGAAGGTGAACGTACAAATAAATCACAAAGAGAGGACGCATACCTCGCTGGCACATGCTTTGCACTGATAAAGGGCTATTTTTGAGACGTCTCGAACATAACCTTTTATGAAAGGCAGCGTTTGAATTGAAGGAGGAAGTACAAACAAATCACAAGAGAAGAGGCACACCTCGGCGGCACCAGCTCTGCACTGCCGGCTGCTTGCATGGCTCCTGCTGCGGTCGGCTCAGAGGCAACAGAGGCTTGCTGCTGGGTTAGAGGCGAAGGCGGGCAGACGTTGGGTGACGATGGGCGCACCCCCCCAGCTGGTAATTATATTCGAAATGGTGTTGAGCCAAGGGAGGAGGGAGAATGTGAGAGGGAGGGGTGTATGTGAGGGATGGAGGGTGGATGTGAATGTAAGGGAGAGACGGGGGTTGCGGGGGAGGGAGGGGGGTTGCGAGGGAGAGAGGGATGGAGAGAGGGGGGTTGCGAGAGAGAGGAAGGGGGGTTGGGAGGGAGGAGGTTGTGAGGGAGGGATGAAATAATGTGGCGGGGAGGAATGCGAATGCGAGGGAGTGAGGGTAAGTGTGGGGAAAGGACGGCGAACGTGAGGGGGGAAGGGGGGGGGGGAAGGGGGGGGGGAAGGGGAAGGAGTAACGTGAGGACAGGAGAGTGAATGTAAGCGAGGGAGATTGAATATGAGGGGACCAGGTGTGAATGTCGCATAAAAAGCCACAGCGCCACCAATGACTCCAACCAGAAACGAATCAAATAATAGCAAAGAAAATAGGTCTGGAAAACATGGGGTTGTCAAGCACATGAGCCCATGAGTCCCTAATCACGACTGCAAGAAATCATGCGTTTGCAGATGCATCAGAGAAACGAAAACCCCTATCTTACCTAACGTGAGAAGGAAAAAGCACTGGCTCTAGGTCTTTACCGGGAAAGAACCTGCCATTGCAAAATCAATTCCAACCAATGACGGTTAGTCTCACATGCAGATGACGTGGCAGCGGTGGCAGGGAACAAGAACCCAGGTGGACCCACAGCAGAAGCCGCTGATAGCCCGCCTCCAGTTCCTCCCAATGACGTGGCAGCAGAACCCGCGGCTGACGTGGCAGGCGCGTGGTGGTGGTCCCGTGGCTTGGCCGCGTGGTCTCGATCCTTGTCGTCTGCATATGGTCGACTGGGAGAGGCGAGAGAGGATACGAAGGAGGTGAGGCGTAGGGGGAGGAGGGTGGAGGTAAGGAGCGGAGAGAAGGGTGGAGATAAGGAGCAGAGAGAAGGGTGGAGGTAAGGAGCAGAGAGAAGGGAGGAGGTAAGGAGCAGAGAGAAGGATGGAGGTAAGGAGCAGAGAGAAGGGTGGAGGTAAGGAGCAGAGAGAAGGGTGGAGGTAAGGAGCAGAGAGAAGGGTGGAGGTAAGGAGCAGAGAGAAGGGTGGAGGTAAGGAGCAGAGAGAAGGGTGGAGGTAAGGAGCAGAGAGAAGGGTGGAGGTAAGGAGAGGAGAGAAGGGTGGAGGTAAGGAGCGGAGAGAAGGGTGGTGGTAAGGAGCGGAGAGAAGGGTGGAGGTAAGGAGCGGAGAGAAGGGTGGAGGTAAGGAGCGGAGAGAAGGGTGGTGGTAAGGAGCGGAGAGAAGGGTGGAGGTAAGGAGCGGAGAGAAGGGTGGAGGTAAGGAGCGGAGAGAAGGGTGGAGGTAAGGAGCGGAGAGAAGGGTGGAGTGGAGGTAAGGAGCGGAGAGAAGGGTGGAGGTAAGGAGAGGAGAGAAGGGTGGAGGTAAGGAGCAGAGAGAAGGGTGGAGGTAAGGAGCAGAGAGAAGGGTGGAGGTAAGGAGCAGAGAGAAGGGTGGAGGTAAGGAGCAGAGAGAAGGGTGGAGGTAAGGAGCAGAGAGAAGGGTGGAGGTAAGGAGCGGAGAGAAGGGTGGAGGTAAGGAGCAGAGAGAAGGGTGGAGGTAAGGAGCAGAGAGAAGGGTGGAGGTAAGGAGCAGAGAGAAGGGTGGAGGTAAGGAGCAGAGAGAAGGGTGGAGGTAAGGAGCAGAGAGAAGGGTGGAGGTAAGGAGCAGAGAGAAGGGTGGAGGTAAGGAGCAGAGAGAAGGGTGGAGGTAAGGAGCAGAGAGAAGGGTGGAGGTAAGGAGCAGAGAGAAGGGTGGAGGTCAGGAGCAGAGAGAAGGGTGGAGGTAAGGAGAGGAGAGAAGGGTGGAGGTAAGGAGCGGAGAGAAGGGTGGTGGTAAGGAGCGGAGAGAAGGGTGGAGGTAAGGAGCGGAGAGAAGGGTGGAGGTAAGGAGCGGAGAGAAGGGTGGAGGTAAGGAGCGGAGAGAAGGGTGGAGTGGAGGTAAGGAGCGGAGAGAAGGGTGGAGGTAAGGAGAGGAGAGAAGGGTGGAGGTAAGGAGCAGAGAGAAGGGTGGAGGTAAGGAGCAGAGAGAAGGGTGGAGGTAAGGAGCAGAGAGAAGGGTGGAGGTAAGGAGCAGAGAGAAGGGTGGAGGTAAGGAGCAGAGAGAAGGGTGGAGGTAAGGAGCGGAGAGAAGGGTGGAGGTAAGGAGCAGAGAGAAGGGTGGAGAGAAAAGGGTGGAGGTAAGGAGCAGAGAGAAGGGTGGAGGTAAGGAGCAGAGAGAAGGGTGGAGGTAAGGAGCAGAGAGAAGGGTGGAGGTAAGGAGCAGAGAGAAGGGTGGAGGTAAGGAGCAGAGAGAAGGGTGGAGGTAAGGAGCGGAGAGAAGGGTGGAGGTAAGGAGCGGACAGAAGGGTGGAGGTAAGGAGCGGAGAGAAGGGTGGAGGTAAGGAGCGGACAGAAGGGTGGAGGTAAGGAGCGGAGAGAAGGGTGGAGGTAAGGAGCAGAGAGAAGGGTGGAGGTAAGGAGCAGAGAGAAGGGTGGAGGTAAGGAGCAGAGAGAAGGGTGGAGGTAAGGAGCAGAGAGAAGGGTGGAGGTAAGGAGCAGAGAGAAGGGTGGAGGTAAGGAGCAGAGAGAAGGGTGGAGGTAAGGAGCAGAGAGAAGGGTGGAGGTAAGGAGCAGAGAGAAGGGTGGAGGTAAGGAGCGGAGAGAAGGGTGGAGGTAAGGAGCGAGGGGAGGAACTGAGGAGTGGTGAGGCAGCGCGTAGGAACGAAAGACTGAAGCACTCAGGGGAGGTGACGGCGACTACTGATGTAACGGCGACAGAGAGTTCATCCTGACTGCTGGCGGACTGTAATAGCAGGAGGGAACACAGGGTCGAAGAGCAGATGCAACGTGCACACCGTGTTGACTGGACGACGCAAAAGTTCCTCTCTCGACAGTTTTGACAACTCTCAATAGTTAATCCCTTGACACTTTTGAGGTGACTTATGAGTCGACTCAAAAGGTGACCTTTCAATAGTTCCTCCCTCTCCCTCACACCTCCAGCACGCCGCTCTCTCAACGTGCGTGCTAGTACGAATAGAAAAGTGCGGAAAAGCCGATCCGATTTGAGACAAGGTGCGTTGAAACTAGCCGCTAATCACGTACCCGCGATGCGCCGACCGGCGCCGCCTGACGTCGGAAGCTGGCCGCGCGTCGGCCATGGAAATCTCGGAAAATGTGTAACCGCTGGAAAAGGTTCAAAGGCACCTAACGCTGCAGCCGTGAGTATTTACGACGGACTGGAATGGTTGCAGGATGCTGGGATCCCAGAATGTTTTTTTCAGCTAAAAAGGCGATGGAGACAGCTGGAAGGAGAATTCAGAATGCCACTAAGCAGCGGGTCCTCTTTTCGATTCCAGTGCAGCATGACGGCTGCTCGAGTGAGCGAGCGACGGCGACTGTTACGTCACCAGCAGGTGCTTTTTGAGGCGCCTACAGGTCGTTCCCGAGTTAGATTGTGCTGCTTTAAGTGGTAAGCACGTAGTGCGAAAAGGCTTGCCAAAATATACGCGCGTGTCCTGAATGTCGACCCGAGAACAGCAACATATCCGACGCGACGGGTCCTAGGTCCTGACCTAATTGGCGATTCGTCAGTAAACCTATAGCAAAGAAGCGGATTCGCGTATGATGGCATCGCTAGTTCGCGATTAGTGATAGCATCACTAGTTTTCCTGCTAGCGAAATCGGTGTGGAGGTCCAGGCGAACGTCCCTCATGGTTACGGGATGTGGATGAGGATAATCATGGTGAACACAGAAGTATTGAAACTTTCGTTGTTAGAGTACAGTTAATCAACGTAAGAATGATAACAAGCTCTTGATTATTTGGCAATGAGCAACCTAGAGTCAAAATGAGTGCTCCATAGGGTTTGAGAGGGCATGCTGGCAGTCTGCCATGATGCAAGTCAGCTTCAGGTGGAGGTCTGTCAGGCACATGTTGCCAATCGAACCCCAGGCAGGAGTCATGGTCTTTGCTAGGCACAACATGTTGCCCACGCCCTACCCATGTACCACCTTCTGAGTCGCAAACAGAAGGCTGTAATTCGTTTTTGCTCATATAAGCACCGGCATGGGATGTGGGGGAGTGTGATGTGGTTGTGACTCCTCTATTTCTGTTGTTCATGTAGCTCCAAATGAAGTTGTGATGCAGAAAAAACCCCGTTGTTATGTAGAATACTGCACGATCCATGGATGACCTGTCATGCCATGCCATGCCGCCCCATCACATACAGTACCATCCCATGCCACGACATACCATACATAACAGACAGATGGAAGTTGAGGTGGATGGTGGGCGACGAGACATAGGTGTGAACATATGCCTTGCTGAAAATGTCACTTGCGGTGAATAAGGAGGTGATATTTGGGAAAACGTTTCAGGGCACGAGTGTGAGGCGACGGAAGGGGGGGCGTGTGGGAGGGTGGGGGGGAGGAGGAGGGGAGGCGAGCAAGAGTAACAACGCACTGGTCTTTCTCACGCAAGTAACAACCCACATAGCAAACACGCACCAGCACCACCATCCACTTACCAAGCCAATCAATGCACCCCAAAATCCGAGCCAATCAGCCCAGCCGATTAAACTCACCAAGCAACTCAAGTGCTGATATCCTCTTGCGGGGGTCCTTCACGAGTATCCTCCTTATAAGATCTTTGGCGTCCTCGCTCACAGTGCGCCACTTGGCGGACCTGAACTGCACCTCCTTGCGCCGGATCGCATCGAATATGCCCTCGTTGCTCGCCGCCCAGAACGGCGGGAAGCCGCACAGCATGATGTATAGGACGATACCCGCCGACCAGATATCTGATTCGGGGCCGTACGAGCCGGTGAGGACCTCTGGGGCCATGTAGTACGGCGTGCCTACGAACTCAGTGAGAGGCTCGCCTGTAAGGGAGGGGTGAGGAGAGGATAGGGACAAGGAAGAATGAGATGCACATCTGTAAGAGCCGGTGGGGACCTCTCGGGCCATGTGGTAGGGCGTGCCGACAAACTCTGTCAGGGGCTCGCCTGTAGCATGGGAGGAGGGGAGAGGGGAGGGGAGAGGGGAGGGGGAGTGAGGAGCACGTTTGTACAGGCCAGATATCCGACTCGGGGCCATACGAGCCGGTGGGGACCTCTGGGGCAATGTGGTAGGGCGTGCCTACAAACTCAGAGAGAGGCTCGCCAGTAAAATGGGCAGAGGGGAGAGGGGAGAGGCAAGAGGGGGAGAGAGGAGCACATCTGTAAGAGCCGGTGAGGACCTCTGGGGCCATGTGGTGGGGCGTGCCGACGAGCTCTGTGAGAGGCTCGCCTGTTAAAGAGAGGGAAGGGGGAAGGGGGAGAGTGAGTGAGGAGCACATCTGTAAGAACCAGTGAGGACCTCTGGGGCCCTGTAATAGGGCTTGCCTACAAAATCAGTGAGAGGCTTGCCTACGAACTCAGCAAGACGCTCTCTTGTAAAGAGGTGTGGGGGGAGGGGGAAAGAAGGCAGAAAGGGAGTGGGAGGAGAAAGAGGAGGGAGAGGAGAGGGAGGAGGGGGATGAGAGGGAGAAAAGGGAGGAGAGGGAGGAGAGGGTGTTAGATTATACTACTCTTCTGTATCCTGCATTGATCCTAAAAACCCTAGGATAGAGATAGGCACCCAAACAGTGTTTGGGTGCACAACTAGGGTTAACCCTAGTTGGGGGTTGGAACCCAACCTTGGCCCAAATATTGGACCCCAAGGTTGGGTTGGAGGGTTATTGGCCCCCCTCAATAATGTTGGCCCACTTTGACCAACATTATTGGGACCCCCCAATAATTCTCCAACCCAACTTACTGGTGGGGGCCAATAATGTTGGCTAGGTACCAACCACCCCCCCTTTCCTTAGCTCCAACTATGTAAGCCCTCATCATTCCTAATCAACTCATCAGTTCAATTCTCACAGAGGGAGGAGAACGAGGTGACGCGGATTTTGGAGGCGCCTAAAAAATAATGACAGCGCCATCGACCCTGTGCTCTCTACCACAGGAACACCAAAGTATGGTCTGAACCTCGAGGGTATTTTTGAGACGTCTCAAAAATACCCTCAATACACGAGGCAACACCAAAGTCGATCACTCCAATAGCAGTATCGCCATCCTTGTGCAGGAGTAGTGTAAAATTCCTCACTTGCGGCCCTCTTGATATAAGCCTGCTTCTGAGGAGAATGTTCTCAGGCTTCACATCACGTCGCGGGGTGCAATGCCGTTGGAGTGGCAGTACAGCAGCGCCTCCACCAGCGTCTGGCACACAAGCACACAATGCCATGCCATGCCATGCCATGCCATTCTAGTAGACCAATGTTCATACCGTGTCTGAATCGCGTGGCGACGCCAAAGTCGATAACTTTGATATTGGTGTCGTCATCCTTGTGCATGAGGAGAATGTTCTCCGGCTTCACGTCGCGGTGAGCAATGCCATTGGAGTGGCAGTAGAGCAGCGCCTCCACGAGCGTCTGGCACACGAGCGCCGCGCTGCGCTCGCTGTACTGCCCCCTCAGCTTGATGCGGTCGAACAGCTCCCCTCCCTTGCAGATCTCCATCACCAGGTGCACATGCTGCCCCACAAGCAGGGACGATGGGGGCAAGAGGAGGGGTTGACAAGGGAAGGTGAAGAGAGGTGGAGAAAGGTGAAGAGGGTATCGAAGTGACAATAAAGCACCCCGCCCTTGCAGATCTCCATCACCAGGTGCACGTGCAGGGGGGGTGAGAAAGGGGTGGGATGAGGTGCGGGGGGGTAATTCAGCTTACTACCCAACCCTAGCACGCCACATGCATACCTCACCTTGCTGTCCTCTAAGGTCTTATAGAGGTCGATGATGTTGGGGTGACCCGTCAGCTGCTGCTTTCAAACAGCCCTCATTAATCCACATACCACACACCACACACACACCCCACCCTTGCCCCACCTTGCTTGCTCTCCTCAAACTTCTCATAGAGGTCGATGATGTTGGGTGGGGTGAGGTGGAGTGGGGTTCCTCTACTTATCGCTCAACCCATACCACACCAAACCCTCATCCCACCTTGCTATCCTCAAAGGTCTCATAAAGGTCGACGATGTTCAGGGTGGAGTCGGGTGGGGTGCGTTAAGATGGGGTATCTCTGCTCTGCGTACCGTGCGATTCCTCCCACACCGCACACACTTGCCTCACCTTGCTGTCCTGTCTTCCAACCAAGGTCTCATAAAGGTCACTGATGTTGGAATGGGTTACATCTACATCTACTCACTATCCCCCACAAACTCCTCAGCTCACCTTGCTGTCCTCAAACGTCTCATAGAGGTCGATGATGTTGGGGTGGCCCCTCAGCTGCTGCCCTCCATCGGCCATCACTAATCCACCGCACCACCCTGCAACTCCTCCCACACCACACACACGCCCTAACCACCCTCATCTCACCTTGCTGTCCTCAAAAGTCTCATAGAGGTCGATGATGTTGGGGTGGCCCCGCAGCTGCTGCATCAGCTGCACCTCCTTGCGCACGTCCTCTGCATCCTCCGGGCACTGCAGCGGTGGAGTGCGGTGGGGTGGGATGGGGTGGAATGGGGTCAGGTGGAGTGAGGTGGGGTGGGGTGGAGTGGGGTGAAGCGGGGTGGCACATGGAGAGCAATGGGGGAGGCCAGGCACATCAACCCATGGGGAGGCTGCAGCACCTGCTGCCGCACCTCTGCGCAAGGAGGTCCGACCCCTACCCACCCCACCGCACCTCCTTGTGCTGCGTCCCCCGGACACTGCAGTGGTGCGCTGCGGTGATGGCATGCGGTGATGGCATGCGGTGATGGCATGCGGTGATGGCATGCGGTGATGGCATGCGGTGATGGCATGCGGTGATGGCATGCGGTGATGGCATGCGGTGATGGCATGCGGTGATGGCATGCGGTGATGCGGTGATGGCATGCGGTGATGGCATGCGGTGATGGCATGCGGTGATGGCATGCGGTGATGGCATGCGGTGATGGCATGCGGTGATGGCATGCGGTGATGGCATGCGGTGATGGCATGCGGTGATGGCATGCGGTGATGGCATGCGGTGATGGCATGCGGTGATGGCATGCGGTGATGGCATGCGGTGATGGCATGCGGTGATGGCATGCGGTGATGGCATGCGGTGATGGCATGCGGTGCGAATTTATACTCCCACCCACACTCCCAAACTCACACCAATGCAAAATCCGCCTCCTGCTCCCACGCCCTCACTCCCACTGTCCCACACCCTCACTCCCACTCTCCCACTCACCCACACCCTCACTCCCACTCACACACACCCTCACTCCCACTCTCCCACACCCTCACTCCCACTCTCCCACGCCCTCACTCCCTCTCCCACGCCCTCGCTCCCTCTCTCCCACGCCCTCGTTCCCACTCTCCCTCACCCTCACTCCCACTCTCCCACGCCCTCACTCCCTCTCTCCCACGCCCTCACTCCCACTGTCCCACACCCTCACTCCCACTCTCCCACACCCTCACTCCCACTGTTCCACATCTTCACTTCCACTGTCCCACACCCTCACTCCCACTCTCCCACACCCTCACTCCCACTCTCCCACTCACCCACACCCTCACTCCCACTCACACACACCCTCACTCCCACTCTCCCACACCCTCACTCCCACTCTCCCACGCCCTCACTCCCTCTCCCACGCCCTCGCTCCCTCTCTCCCACGCCCTCGTTCCCACTCTCCCTCACCCTCACTCCCACTCTCCCACGCCCTCACTCCCTCTCTCCCACCGCCCTCACTCCCACTGTCCCACACCCTCACTCACACTCTCCCACACCCTCACTGCCACTGTTCCACATCCTCACTTCCACTGTCCCACACCCTCACTCCCACTCTCCCACACCCTCACTCCCACTCTCCCACACCCTCACTCCCACTCTCCCACACCCTCACTCCCACCCACTCCCCCACGCCCTCAATCCTGTCCCTCCCCATCCATCAACCGCCTGCATCGCTGCTGCTCCCTCCCTGCCACAGCGCACACTCTTGCAATCCCCCAACCCAAATGCACCACTCACTTGTACGGACCCTGTGCCGGGGGTAATGATGGCAATCCGTCCCACCCAGCCCCACCCAGCCCCACCCAGAACCTTTGCCTGCTCTGCTAGTCTCAGAGTTCTGTAAAACCACCAAACTGTTTAGTTCATCATTTCTACGCCTTTCAGTCCAGACCAAGCATACAGTTCAGCCCAGGAATCTTCTAGCAACCCTCCCACCCTGAGTTGACTTTTAAGTTGACTCAAAAGTCAACCAAGTCCAGACCAAGCATACAGTTCTGCCCGGGAATCTTCAGTCAACCCTCCCACCCTCACACTCACCACAGTTGGCTCCTCGCTGTTGGTCTTACACGCCAGCAGCACACCCACAGCCTGAGTCACGCGCCAGCACCACTATCCGTCCCATCCCACTCACCCCACACAGGCACTCACCACAATCCGTTCCTTGCTGATCGTTTTGCAAGCCAGCAGCGCGCCAGTCATTCTATTGACGCACGATCGAATAACGCCGAACTGCCCCACGCCCAGCTCCTCCTCCTGCACGTCAAACACCTCGGTGACCTCGCGGTACGGCTTGCGCAGGATGAAGTCCGTGTGCCGCAGGCTGCCCCCGTCCACCCATGATGATATGCGCCGGTGCGCGCCCTTCTGTAGCGCCGCCACCGGCCCCGCTACAGCCACCGGCGCTACGGTCACTGGTGCTACAGCTGCCGCTGGTATGCCCCCCCCTGCTGCTGCTGCTGCTGCTCCCAATGCTCCCCCGCCCGCCCCAACCCCGACACTCCCTCTCACCCCACTACCCTCCCTCCTCAGCCCAGACCTTTCTTTCACAGACCCTATCCCCGCCACCTCCCGCACTCCTCTCCCCATTCCTCCTGCTCCGCTTCCCCCTGCCCCCTCTCCCCCCATCCCCCCTCCCCCCGCCTTCCCCGCGGGGGGGCCTACCGCCACCAGTTTAACCTCTCTGCCCTCATCCCCGCTATCATCTGCCCCGATTTCCACTCTTAGCTGTAGCTTTTTCAGCCCTATAGCGGATTTCCGCGGAGACCCTGCGCCTCCAGGTTCCCCCCTGGGCGAACCCGCCGCGCTCCCCCTCTCGCTCCCCCGCTCGCTCCCCCTCTCGCTCCCCCCATCGCCCCCGATCCCCAACCGCTTTCTGTGGGCGGAAATCGCGGCGCTGACAGCGCTCGCGCCGCCACCCGGCGCGTCGCGCCCCGTAGCCACGGACACGTCAGACAACGCGACGGATTCCGTCGGCGAGCTACGCTCCGTCCCCTCCCCGTCATCCTCCTGAACGGGAGACGCGATCCCCCTCATCCCCGCGCGTCCCACGCCCATCCCTCCCCCCTCCGCATCCGCGTAACCCTGATCCCTCCCCGCCGCTGCCCCCGCGCCGCCCGCCAGCCGCCCCTTCGTGAGCGGCATAGCAGCGGAATAAATATTATGATCCACGCTCCCGATGCGCCGATGGCGCCCCTTTCCGCCGCCCGCGCCCGCTCCGCCGCCCTTCTCCATGTGGCGGAGCACCTGGCGCTGTCCCACCTCCGGCGCTCTCAGCCGGTCCATGCGGCTCCCCTCAATCTCTTTCCCTGCGGAAGACGCGGACGGGGGAAACGCGGGGGTGGGCTTCCGCGCGCCAGGCTCTTCCGCGTCGCTTCCCGCTCTCCCCGCGGCGGAAGCTCCGCCCCCTCCGCCGGCGTCGGAATCACCCCCGCCACTGCTACTGTGCTCCGCGGAAGAACGCCTGCTGCGCGGCCTTTCTTTTTCCGCGTGGCTCTTCCCCTTCTTGGTTTTCGCCTTGGCGTTCGCCAATGGCGCTTTGACACGTGGTACAGATACCTCGCTCGCGTCGTCGTCGCAGTCTTGTTCCGAATCCGTCTCCTCCTCCGCCACAGCGGGAACAACGGGCTTTAAGATGGGTTCTATTATCGGGTTTTCTACTAACTGAAACCCGCAATTCGGGCAGAACTGGTACCGCGGCTTGCAATACGCGACTCCGCCGGCAGCGGCCGCCAAAGCCGCCGCCGCCGCCGCCAACTCCGCGCTCCCCGGCGGAAATTGCGCCGCGTTCACAGATGGCTTTAACGGAAACCGCGGCTTGTCCGCATCTGACGGTATGGAGTCAGGGGTGTTGACGAGCGGTAATCGCGGATCGACGACGCTATTGATACTGCTGCTGTTGCTGCTGTTGTTAACCCCGTTTCGCATCGACTCCAGCGTCGGCTGTCTCGCCGCGCCGCCCATTGCGCCGCTTCTGCTTCGCCCCCCGCCGCCGTTCGTGCTGTTCCCCGTGGCCGTAGGGACCGCCCCGTACCCGCCGCTTAAACCGGAAAGACTAAGACCGGCCAACGAGGCCCGCGCCTCGACGGCGACGTTATCGGAGGATTTTCGCCTGCGGCGCCCCTCGTGGCTCGAGTGACTGCCGGAGCCGCGCCCGTCCGACATGTGCCCGGGCGACTCTGCGTGGTTGGCGACACTGTGCGGCGAAGCGCTGCGAACGGGTAACCCTACGCCGACGCCGGACCCTGCATGCTTGCTGCTTCCGCGCTCAATCGCGCTTCCCCCGATTCCACCTCCCCTGCTTCCGCCTCCCCCGACCATATGAAACTCCTGCAGGCGCAGCTCGAGCGGGCTGACGGACGCGACCGTAGCGCGCCGGCGGCTTCCGCTCTTGTGCGGGGGGAGCCCCGAGGGCTGCTCCGAGTGGTACTGCATCTTAAAGCCCTCGTACCCGGCAGTTCAAGTGTAGGACACTTGATACGGGTTTTCTAGGTTATTGGCTGCAATGCGGTGCTTCTAATGACCTCCTAACCATCTGTAGGATAGGTGAGGCGACGGGTGATGATGTTAAAGAATATGGACGAGATAATATAAGAGGAATTGCGGTAGGTGAGGGAATGGCCTTCGGAACTAGCAGGGGCGATTATTATTTCCGCGAGAGAACGCTGGGAACGCAACGCGAGGCGATGTGAGAGAATGTACTCAGTTAATGAGGGTCGATGTAGCTCACCATGCGAACGATTCGCGTGGAACATAAACTATCACTACCCTCAAGGACGACAGCTTTCGAAATAATTAATATTAGAGAAACTTATTTTCAGCAACAGCAGAGTTTATATGAAGGTCCGCTGTGCTAAGGCTGAGGACCTTGATAGTAGGTTGTGGGAAAGCAAAGCTCTGTTGAGCTGGAAGGTTGAGACAGAGGCAACGAGCAAGCTAGTTGGCTGATTTCAAAGATGGTGCAGCTGACAAGCTGGCACTGCTGCACGAACAAGCGTCAAACACGGACAGTCCAAACGGAGTTTAAAACCACCGTGGCTTCTAGGGACAGATGGAGCTGCGAACCGTACCGTGCGTACGCAACCAGCGTACGAAACCCAAGAAGGTGGTGCTGGTGGTAGCTGTCGTTTCTGAAACCCAAGAGCCAGCAAGCCAGCCTGAGGTTTGGACCTCAGGTTTTCACAGCCATTGTAAGGTTTGGAGGTCGCAAGCGTGGTAACCTGAATGTTTGTGGTTTGCGATTTTTGGCGACAGAAACTCTACCTTGTGTTCTAGCCTTGAATTTCTGGTGCGAGGTTCCGAATTCTCAAGTTCGGTTCGGGAAGATCACTCAAGCTGATGAAGCCTGATGGCTTCTTTCATGAGGAGCAAAACAATTGGAGGGAACCACGTGGACGTACGTACGCACGCCACCACACGAAACTCGTGGTGGCATTCGGTGGTGTGTGGTGGAAGAATCGGAGTGTTGCACAGTGTCTGGTGTACAGTACACTGACAAGGTGGGTGGATCACCTGGCGGTCCGGCGGCCATGAGTGGAACGCTGTGGGTCCCGTGGGGCACAGCCCACCGCCCTCTAGGCACGAAAGCGGGCACAAACCATTCCCAACAAACAGCCGAAAACGTGCAGTGCGCACTGGGATAACAAGGTTGACTCGTTTGTAATTTCTCCAGCTATTAGAGCATGTTAGGGTTGCACTGTAGAAGCTAGCCTAATGGGCAATTCGTAATGGTCAATGGGGTGATTGGAAAGTGGAAGGCTCTGTTACGGTAAAAGGTGAGGTCATCATATATAAGAGAAAGAAATTTGCTGTCAAGATACAATGTGCATGTGTAAAACAATAACTGGTACCTACCTAAACGGTACTAGGAATTTCTCCAATATGTCCTTTCTTCAAACCTACCAACAAGCCCCCCTCTCTCTTCCAAATTCCAACCCTTCTCCTCCCCCCCCCCCCCCCCCCTCCTCCCCTAACTGATTCCTTTTTGCGGATAGACGAGCCGGAGCTAAGCTTCTTGCCTGAAGCTGGAACCCCAACAACTGTCCTCAGTTCCTGCGGCATCTTTCCTCCACTCCAAGTCGTCTCCGAAGCACAATGAAAAGTACGGTACGGTTGGTTTTGCCTTTCTTTAATCTTGTGAAATTCATACAGCATCAACACAATACACACGTGGTAACCACCAACAAACCAAACCCCAACAGTCTCAGGCCGCAGCAGCTGCCTGCTTGTTGCGCTGCACTCGCCTCACCACCTCCTCCATAGCAATATCAAAGGCGTCTCGCTTTTGTTCCATGGGATACATGCGCGGGTGGTTGTACACCACTGCCGGCATCACCTCCCTTATGATCTTCAACCTCATTCGCCGCACCTAGAGAGAGCGGGGAAGGAAAGGCGGAAAGGGGAACGAATGAGTGGGAGGGAAAAAGAGGGGAGGGCAAAATTAAAGGCGTCTCGCCTGTTCTCCATAGGGTACATGAGTGGATGGTTGTACACCACTGCTGGCATCACCAGCCCTTATGATCTTCAACCTCATTCGCCGCACCTAGAGAGAGCGGGGAAGGAAAGACGGAAAGGGGAACGAATAAGGGAGTGGGAGGGAAAAAGAGGGGGCAAAATTAAAGGCGTCTCGCCTGTTCTCCATAGGGTACATGAGTGGATGGTTGTACACCACAGCTGGCATCACCAACCCTTATGATCTTCAACCTCATTCACCGCACCTAGAAAGAGTGGGAGCACAAGGGGAGGCGCAAGAGGAGGGTAACGAAGAGGGGAAGAGGGGAGGGCGATACAAGAAACGTCTCGCCTGTGTTCCATGGGATACATGCGCGGATGGTTGTACACCCCTGCCGGCAACACCTCTCTTATGTTTCCCAACCGCATGCGCCGCACCTAGAGCAATGGGCACACATGTGGGGAGGGAAATGTGAGAGGAGTTAACATGGGAGGGAAAGGGGGAGGGAAAAGGGTGCATGCGCAGGAGGCTGTACACCCCTGCTGGGGGTGCATGCCTTATGATCTTCAACCTCATGCGCCGCACCTAGAGCAATGGCACATGCGTAGGGAAGGAAAGTTGAAAGGAGTGAACGTGGAAGGGAATAGGGGCACATGTGCGGGTGGTTGTACACCCCTGCTAGCATCACCTCTCTTATGATCTTCAACCGCATGCAGCGCACCTAGAGAGAGCGAAACGTAGAGTCAGGGGAGGGTAAAGGGGAGGGAAAGGTGCCATGGTTATGTGAAAGAGGTCTTGTCTCTGGTGTATGGGGTGCATGCATGGTGGTAATACATAATACACCGCTGATGGGATGGCTGTTCTCGAGATGCAGATGTGCCATGGGTGATGGGATGGTTGTTCTCGAACATGCTCCTCAATCACACATGCAACAGTGCCACGTATATGCACAACGGTAGCATGCACAACGGTAGCATGCACAACGGTAGCATGCACAACAGTGACTTGCGTAACAGTGACTTGCGCAACAGTGGCTTGCTTAACAGTGGCTTGCTTAACAGTGACTTGCATAACAGTGACTTGCATAACAGTGACTTGCGTAACAGTGACTTGCGTAACAGTGACTTGCGTAACAGTGACTTGCGTAACAGTGACTTGCGTAACAGTGACTTGCGTAACAGTGACTTGCGTAACAGTGCGTAACAGTGACTTGCATAACAGTGACATGCGTAACAGTGACTTGCGTAACAGTGACATGCGTAACAGTGACTTGCGTAACAGTGACTTGCGTAACAGTGACTTGCGTATCAGCTACAAACAAGAAACTACAAAGGCACTCTATGTTGACACGGACCATAGAGTCAACAACGTGAGCCTTTGCACTCGGGAAAGGAACCAGGAGTGGGACACACCGACCGAACCAAGAGTGGGACGCACCCACTGAAGCAAGAGTGGGACACACCGACCGAACCAAGAGTGGGACATGCCGACCGAACCAAGCACATACAGACGGTTCGCCCTGGTCCTGCTTACCTCCTTTCCTGGAATCTTCTCGAGCTCCTTGATGACGTCAACCTTGCCTGCCAACACTGCTTTCTCACTCAGCGTCACCGAGTAGGTGCTGCTGTTGGCCGGTAGGTGCCACTTGTACTGTGCAGTAAGGAGTGGGGGAAAGGGGAGAGCCGAGGGATGGATAGAGGGATGAAGGAACAACATGATGATCACTCAGCGTCACCGCGTAGGTGCTGCTGTTGGCCGGTAGGTGCCACTTGTACTGTGCAGTAAGGAGTGGGGGAAAGAGGAGAGGAGAGGGATGAGGGAGGAAGGAACAACATGATGATCACTCGACGTCACCGAGTAGGTGCTGTTGTTGGCTGGTAGGTGCCACTTGTACTGCGACGCAGGAGGAGGGGGGGACTGGGAGAGGGGCGGATGGGAGAGGGGCGGATGGAGGGAGGGATAGCATGAAGTTGATTTTGAGAATTCTCAAAATGAACCTCAAACAAAACGGGAGGGATAACATGAAGTTGATTTTGAGAATTCTCAAAATCAACCTCAAACAAAACGGGAGGGATAACATGAAGAACCATTTGAAGCGACAGAAAAGCTGTTGCTGTTGGCGGATAGGTGCCACTTGTACTGTGACGCAGGGGAAGGGAGGAGAGAGGAGAGAGATGGAGGGAGGAAGTGACAACATGATCATTCAGTGTCGCCGAGTAGGTGGTGCTGTTGGCCGCTGCTGCTGCACGACTAGGCCGGCTGCACGACTAGGCCGGCTGCACGACCAGGCCGGCTGCACGACTAGACGGGGCGCCTTTAATATCAACAATGGCAGCTTGACTCATACAGCTGCGTGCTGAGGTTACTAAGAGGGTCACGAGGGAGTGGAGTCGCGGAAGACAGGGATGCAGCCGGCAACGATGGCATCTGGAGGGAACATGCTGAGCCCAGAACATGCTGAGCCCAGAACATGCTGAGCCCAGAACATGCTGCACACTCGCACTCACACACCCACACATCCACACTGAGCGCACCTGGGAGGGAACAGAGGAGTCGAGGAAGACGGGGAGGGATGCAGCCAGCAACAATGGCGTCAAAGGCGGCTCTGTGTGCTCAACAAACACATGTACAGCACACCTGAGAGGACACCTGAGCTTACCTGGGAGGGCACCTGTGCTGTATTCACCTGGGAGGGCACCTGTGCTGCATTCACCTGGGAGGGCACCTGTGCTGCATTCACCTGGGAGGGCACGAAGGAGTCGAGGAAGACGGGGATGCAGCCAGCCACGATGGCGTCAAAGGCGGCCCTGCGGGCGCCCGTGTGGCCCGATGGTACGATGCAGAAGGCAGCATCGGTGAATAGATCCATGAGCACCTCTGGCCGCGTGCAGATGTCCTCCACGCACTCCAGGTATCTGGTGGTGATGTGGGATAGTGAGGGGTTTAGAGCGGTACTTGATAATCAGGCAGATTGGGGTAGCTGTGGTGGGTGGTGAGGGGTTTAGAGAGGTAGTGGAAGGAGGGGAGTGAATAGGAGGAGAGAGGCTTAGAGGGCATCAGAACCGTTGGACCCGTGACGGTATCTTAGGAGGTAGCTGGTGTCTTACATACATTTGAGGTAGCTGGTGGTGAGGGGAGGAGTGGGATGGAGGTGACGGGATGAGACATAGGAGGGGAGGAGGGGAGGAGAAGAGGAGGAGAGGAGGAGGGGAGGGGAGGAGCGGAGGAGGGGAGGAGGAAAGGTGACCCCACATGCCCTTCATCACCCCACACTCACGGACATGCCTTGCCTCACTCAACTCACCGGCACGCCTTGCCTCACTCAACTCACCCGGCACGGCATGGCTTTCTTGCACTGCCTGCCAGCGCCTTGTCGTGCTTGCTGAAGGCGTCCCTAGTGATGCAAGCAAACGACCACGGTCCTGTGATCGCCCCACACAATCTGACACTCACCGGCACGCCATGGCTTTCTTGCACTGCCTGTCCAGCGCCTTGTCGTGCTTGCTGAAGGCGTCCCTAGTGATGCAAGCAAACGACCACTGTCCTTTGATCACCCCACACAATCTAACACTTACCGGCACGCCTTGGCTTTCTTGCACTGCCGCCCCAGTGCCTTGTTGTGCTTGCTGAACGCGTCCCTCAGCGATGCAAACGCGGCCAGCGACGTGCGCCGGTGCGACTCGGCTATGCGCTGCCATGTCTGCATTGTGAGCGGGGGTGGTGAGAGGGGTGGTGAGAGGGGTGGTGAGAGGGATGGTGAGAGGGATGGTGAGAGGGATGGTGAGAAGGGTAGTGGGAGGGGTGGTGGGAGGGGATGATTAAGAACGCTGCTAACCATGTCGTCCACTGTTGAATGCTCTGTCCTTCACCCCTGGCGTCTCACCTTGTAGTCCTTCTCCCAGCGAGGGTGGAAGAAGGTGAGAGGGGGGATGCCGATCTCGGTGTCCTCCCACAGGTTGGCGGCCAGCACTAGCTTCGTCACGTGCTTCATCTCGGGCAGCAGCAGCAGGCGGTTGCCCCACTGCGACCCCTCTGACCGCCTGAAGTCCCACGAGCCCTGCCCCAGCACGATGAAGTGGTCCGCTCCGTTGCGCTTCTGCAGGGAGAAAAGAGACCAGCACAGGCACAGAAAGGCACAGATAGGTGCAGAAAGGATGCGCCTCAACTCAAGTCCCACGAGCCCTGCCCCAGCAGTATCAAGTGGTCCGCTCCCCTGCTCTTCTGCACAACACAGGAAGGAGGAGCGCAGAAGCATCAGGCAGGCAGGTAGCACATTAGTGCTGTACAACCAGGACCCACCTAAATTCGATAGCCTCACCAAGTGGCTCTTGCAAAGAGAGCGCTTCAAGACCCTTTCGGGACTAAAAAAACACTAAACTACGCACCTTGAATGCTCGCTCCTCATCAACCACACCTCCCTTGCCCTCACACCACACCTGTTCAAACTCCTGTACCTGACACTACGTACCTTGAAGTGCTCCCTTCTCATGAGCCACTTGGCTAGCCCGTCATGCATGCGATCACGGTCGTTCAGAGACGCATTCACCATCACACAGGGCAAAGCAGGGTGCACCACCACATACCATGCCAGACCACCTCGAACCGCTTCGCACCTTGAAGTGCTCCCTTCTCATGAGCCACTTGGCGAGCCCATCATGCATGCGGTCACGGTCGTCCAACGATGCGTTCTTGGCGAAGTGCCAGCGAGTCACGTCCAGGGAGGCGTAGAAAGGGATGAAGAAGAGGTCTGCTTTGTCTGGATCGCTCGTGATGCACTTGTACGCCTTGCGCAGCCTGTAGTGAAAGACCATCTCCAGGGCGTACTGGGAGGAGGGGCACATAGAGAATGGCAAAAAAAGGCAGGGGAGAGAAGACGCGTAAAAGGGGTTAAGACAAGATCTGCTTTGTCCGGATCACTGTTAATGCACTTGTACGCCTTGCACAGGCTAGTGAAACACCATTTCCAGTGCGTACTGGCAACCACAGAGCAAGGAAGGAGGACGAGGGAGACAAGGAGTAGAATGGGATGAAGAACAAGGCCGCCCTGTCAGGGTCATTGGTGATGGACTTGTACGCCTTGCACAGGGGGTAGTGAAACACCATCTCCAGGGCGTACTGTCACTCACACAGTGTAGGGAGAGACACAAGATAAAAGGGCATGAAGGACATGTCCGCTCGCTCAGTGTCGCTGCTGCTGCCCTTGTATACCATGTGGAGCCAGTAGTGGGACACCACCTCCCGCAGGGCGCACTGGGAGGAGAGGGAGAGGGGAAGAGACTGGGGAAGGAGAGGGGAAGGGGCACGGGCTGTCAGGGCGATCAGGGTCGCTGGTTATGCCCTTGTATACCTTGCAGCGCCGGTAGTGGCGGGGGGGAGAGAAGAGAGCGAGGTGTCAAAGAGCTTGAGCAAGTGGCAGTTATGATCACCTCACGATGTTTGCAGTCTGAAATACAATCAATGGCTTGCGCATTTGAGAGACGACTTATGCAGCTGTAAGACATGATGCAGTGCGGTGTGGTGTGGTGCAGTGCAGCGTGGTGCAGTGCATGCATACCATGTGCGTCTCGAACCATCGGCCAGAGGGTAGAAGCAGCTTGCTGTTGCGGATTCGGTTTCCCAAGCCGTCGTTCTGTTTGCGCATGGGCGCATGGGATTAGACATGAGGGCATGTCCGGGGGGCATGTAGAGGGGGGTATGCAGTTGGGGGCATGCAGAGCGGGGTATGCAGAGGGGGGCATAAGACATGAGATTAGACATGAGATTAGACATGAGATTAGACATGAGATTAGACATGAGGGCATGCAGAGGGGGGCATGAGAGCAGGCAGGTGAAGAAGCAGAGTAGCAGAGAGGCGCGCACACACACGCCCATACCCCTCAAAACCCGCACAATTCAACCCAACACCCACACAAGAGATGCACCTGGAAGTGCGGGCAGATGGAGAACCAGGGTAGCAGCGTGGCGCACTGCTCGACGAGCCCGCGGTTGTACGCCTGAGCCAGCTTGTGAATGTACACCGTGCGCCCCCGACACCCCTCCACGTCTATCGGCTCTCCCACTGGGTCTGCTGCAACTGCTTCTGCCTCCGCTTTCTGAATAAGAGGGGCAGAGTAGAGGGAAATCGAGGGGGAAGGGGGAGAGAGGGGAAGGGAAAGCTTGTGAATGTACACCGTGCGCCCCCGACACCCCTCCACGTCTATCGGCTCGCCCACCAGATCCGCCGCTACCGCTGCTGCCTCCTCCACTTTTCTGGAGTAGTGATGAGATGAATAAGTGAGGGATTCGCGGGCTCAGGAGGGAAGAGGAAGTAATGTCAAAAGGGGAGGCGTCAATGGAGAGGGGCGAAGGGCGAGTCGAGGCATGGATGAAGGTTGAGGGGTTAAGGGCGAGGGGTTAAGGGCGAGGGGTTAAGGGCGAGGGGTTAAGGGCGAGGGGTTAAGGGCGAGGGTTAAGGGCGAGGGTTAAGGCAAGCAGATGAAGAGCAGGAGGTGCGATGCGGCGGCAAGAGAAAGGGACCAGTGAGCAGATTGCAAGTGCTCACCACTTCCTTGGCAGCGACCGACTGCTGCTCCGACGAGCCCGCACTCTCCCCTGTGGCCTCCCCACCCCCGCTGCTGCTGTTCTCCCCCTCACTGCCACCACCACCACCATCACCACCAGCGTCACCAGCAGCACTGTCATCTGCAGGCCCAGCCCCTTCGTCCTCCTCCCCCGCTCCTTCCCCACTGCTGTGCGAGCCCTCCTCCCCCTCCCTCGCCTCCTCCTTCGCCTCCTTCTCCTCCTCCTTCTCCTCCTCGTCCTCCTCGTCTTCTTTCTCCCCCTCCTCATCCTGCGCTTTCTTCCTGCTGCCTGTACCTGCTTCACTGCGTCCCTTCTTCCCTTCCTTCCCACCCCCTTCCTCCTCATCATCCTCTTCATCATCCTCCCCGTCCTCCTCATCCTCGCTCTCACCCTTATCCCCTGCTTTCTTCTCCTTCTTGCCTCCCGCTTCCCCCTCTCCACTCCCCTCATCACTCTCCTCCTCATCCCCCTTTTGCCCTCCCTCACTCTTCCCTCCCGCATCCTTCTCCTCCTTCTCCTCGTCACCCTCATCACCATCCTTCCCATCCTCATCCTCATCCTCATCCTCCTTCCCTTGCCCCACACTCGCCTTCACCTCAGTCCTCTTCTCCTCTTCTGCCCCTGGCCGATCAAGAACCACTCCCTCCTCCCCAAACACACCGCTGCCATGAGGTATCTTCTCAGGGAATTGCTGATGCTCTCTTTCAGGGAATTGCTGCGGCTCCCTCTCAGGGAATTGCTGCTGCTCCCTCTCAGGGAATTGCTGCTGATGATCCCTCTCAGGAAAATGGTGCTGACGCTCCCTCCAAGGGAATGGCTGTGGCTCCTTATCAGGATACGCCTGCCCACCCTGCCCTGCTCCACTCCCTGCCTCCCCACCCACAGCAGCAGCAGCAGCAGCAGCGGCAGCACCTCCTTCCGCAGTAGCAGCAGCAGTGGCGCCACTGTTAGCAGCAGCATCGTGACCTCTGGCACTCTCTGCTTGTGCTGTCTCCAGTTGGGACGCCTGCAGACATGCGCACACACACCCACAGGAAGGAGTGGGAGGTAAGGAGCAGAATTTCTGCAAGGAGCACAATTCCAGCATGCAGCAGAGAGCACGTGGTGCAGCAGAGAGCACGTGGTGCAGCAGAGCACGTGGTGCAGCAGAGCAGAGCACGTGGTGCAGCAGAGCACGTGGTGCAGCAGAGCACGTGGTGCAGCAGAGCACGTGGTGCAGCAGAGCACGCGGTGCAGCAGAGCACGTGGTGCAGCAGAGCACGTGGTGCAGCAGAGCACGTGGTGCAGCAGAGCACGTGGTGCAGCAGAGAGCACGTGGTGCAGCAGAGCACGTGGTGCAGCAGAGGGCCAAGGCAAGACACGCTGTATTGTAGCCATGGAAAACGGGGGGTGGACGAAATAGTGCTCCTGCCTGCTACGCGTTACACCACTCCATCTCACCTGCTGCTGGCTCAACTGCTGCACTGATGCAGTGAGCACTTGGTCCTCCCACCTGCCTCGGTGACTTTTGAGTCGACTAAAGAATGACCCCATCTCACCTGTTGCGCTGATGCAGGGAGTGCGTGGTCCTCCTGCCTTGCTAGCTCCAACAGGCTCGCCGCGTCCTCGCCCCCGCCTGCAGTGACTGCTGGTGGTGGAACGGACGGAATACGGATGGCATGATGGCATGATGGCATGATGGAATGTTGGCACTATGGCCTCAGAAAATACAATCAAAAGTATTTGAACTTATGCATCCATACCTTCCCACCCATCCAATGTCCCCTTCCCTCGGTGTCCTCGCCATAGCCTCTCCCTCTCACACCCTTCCCCCCTCCGCCCTTTGCTCCCCCACCAAACGACTTTTCCAAGTTTCACTCCCTCCTCTCCCTTGTTCTCTCCCTGGCCCCACTTCTCTCCACTGCTCCACCATCCCCTCCCACCCGTCCCATTCTTCCACTGCTTTCCACTCCTCTCTTCAACTCAATTTTCCCCATTATCCCACCCCTTCCCTCCTCTCCTCTCTTCAACTCAATTATCCCCATTATCCCACCCCTTCCCTCCTCTCCTCTCTTCAACTCAATTATCCCCATTATCCCACCCCTTCCCTCCTCTCCTCTCTTCTCCCCAGGGGCTCACAGTGCGTGGTTTGCACGGCAACAGGCTGAGCCAGTTGTTGAGGCGTTGATATGGTCTCAGTGTGTGCGATCTGGGCGCCAGTCAAATGCACAAAAGCGCAGGAGTGAATGACGGAGACGGAATTAGACAAGTTGGGTTTGAGGACTCTCCAAAACCAACTTGGTTTCGGTATGCGCGACCTGGGCGCCAGGCACATGCACGAAGGCGCGGGTGTGGATGAGGGAGGCGTACAGCCAGGTGTACAACGCTCGAAAAAGCTCGAGTCTACTCTTTCGCGTCGTATACAATGCAACCCCCGCCAGCCACGCAAGCAGCTACGCGCGCACAAACAAGTTCCGTGCATTCAGCGTACTCTCGCCATGAAAAGACGAGCCCTTTCACGTACGTGTTCCGTCATTTGAACCGCAGGGCCGACCGTGCCGCTCTTCGTGACGTCTGGCTCGCCTGCATGGCAACGCATTGTCACAGGAAAAGAGAAAGAACGACGAGATTCGACGATTTTTGAGTCGACTCAGAAGTGAAATTCAATGACCGACGGGATGAGAAATGACGAGATACGACGCCAAAACGGAGTGAACTTGACCCCGTAATCAAGATAATACGGGAGAAGATTGAGAGATTGCGGGGAGAAAGGCGATTATGGGAAGAAAGGAGAGAGAATGGCACAGACAACGACGGGAAGAAGAGGACACGGCGACGTCGCTCGCACTCTCATAAAGCACGCTGGAAAGGCTCAGCAGCTTACGGAGCTGCATTCTGCGACGCCTCAAAAGTCGCACAAACCATTTTCCAGTCGGCTGATCCATACGCACTACCGTTACTGCTGGCACGGCAGCGGCACACTGTGTCGGAACGAGACGATCGATGCTCCAGACGACGGCATTGCTTACTAGGTATTACGGATATTGTTAGCAATTGAAAATAAGGTCCTCCTGATAAATGATAAGAAAGGACAACGCGAGTAACGTACTCTGATTGGTCGGATGCGATGATGGTCTAGCGAGCATGACGATGAGAATGACTGCTGCGACGGTGAACATGGCGACCTGTGCGACGAACTGTCGCCGCTTCTGCGCCGCCGATCGCGGAGCGAAAATGGAATCCGACTTTCGCTTCGCCTCGTCGTGGTCCGACCCGTCAGGCGACTGCCTCCCGCCTGTCGCATGCCCTCGTCGCACGTCCATCGCTGCGACTGTGCGGACACTAACGATCGCAACGGGACAACTAGAGAAAAAACGCGAAGAGATAGCGTAAACTTTATTCAAATTTCACGGCATCATCATTCCGTGAATGAAGGACACGCGGAGGTGAGAATGTGGAAGTGGTCAGGAAGAATGGCAGGGAAAGATGAGATAGCAATTTGGGGAAGGGAAGCTCAACCTTGGGAGTCCCGTTTTGTGGCTGGAGCGAATCTGGAATATGAAAATTGGCGGGGAGAGAAAGCGGACTGACAAGGAGGGTTAACGTTTTGTTTCGGGCTACCCGACGTTCTGGGTACCAATTTTGTGAAGGTATTTGTTTTAGCAAAGCTGTACAGGTTTCGCAAGTACTGGAGAGAATCAGCAATGACCAATGGACCTCCAACTGTTTGCAGCACGTAGTGCTGGCACTGATTGATAGAAGTTTGGGGGTGAATTAATTTTAGCATTCTGGGGCAAATGGGAGAATAAAAATGTTTTGATTTGCTCACCCTTGTGCGAAGTTTGCACCATGTCCATTTTGCGAACAAATCTCACTACATTTGTAACACACACTGTACTGAGCGTTTCGCCTAGTCGTTATTGCGGCTTTGGTTACCCACTGTAACATAATATCGTATAGATATATTTCATTCTCGACCTTCCACATGCATCTTTGAGTCTGCCAATAGGTGTCAGCAGGAACTGAATATACAAGTGCAACACTTTCTGCCTTCCTACATCGTTCACGATTCACAGGAGCTTCACGCTCGTCACAGCAACGCACGACAAGGAATAACTACGAATCTGAACCAAGATCATGTTCCAAACGATCGACTCTGACCATATCAGTTCAAGAACTACAATATTCCGAATGGCTTCACTATCAACTCAAGAAGAAAGTTTCTCTATATTTCTTGGCGACAAGTTATGGCAACATGATGTTTGACATGAAGAAGCATATCATGGTGGATTCTACGGTAAAGAACATTTTCAGGATAAGCCTATGTCGCTGAGGAAACAGGGCTATGGCGCCATGTTACGACTGCGGTGTGTGAAGCTACTCAAAATTCTGTCGCGGATGCAGCTGCTCCTATCTTCCCTCAGAAAGTGGGGGTTGCCCCCAGCATTCAGCTCACGCAACTGCCTGCCATAGGAGGCCTTTGGTGTACGGGGCACAGCTGCTAGGCAGCAACTTCGAACCAGGGCAATTTCTGCTCTCCCAACCCAACCCCACCACTTCGGCAAATCAGATTTGGAGCCAAAGGACCAAGACCTGAACATCCGTCACCAAAGTCCTGCACGGCATCAATTTCGAACCAGGGTTTTCTCTGTTGGAACCCAACCTTTTTACAAGGCACGGCAGGGCAGGCTCGGAGCCAATTCTTCCAAGCTGAAGCAACAGATACAGAACCTGGAACCTACCGAGGCGTTTCTGCTAGAGTTGAAGTGTGGCAACGACATAGTTAGATTTTGTGGCGGCAAGTTGAAGTTTTTAGGCGTTTTGGTCTATAAGCCTCCGTAGATTTCTGCGAGGGTACGGTATACACTACCTATGCCCTCTAGCTCCGGTTACGACCGACGGTGTTTTGCGTTGTACGTTGTATAATGCATTTCCACCTTTAAAAAAAAAAAGGAACTGAATATACTCCAAAATTACAAGCTCTTTTTCATTATTTTTCTTCGCCAGGGCTAGGCCTAGGTAACGTGCCCTTTTGCCAAAATACCTTCGGGAACTAGGAAAGCATCGGGGTTACCTTATTGGCACGCGTTGTATTTCGCTGCTTTGTAACTTAACTGGGGGGCGAGAGGTCTGCATGAATGAATCAAGAGGAGCAAAATGGCGGCGACGAGGTTCGTTTCCGCGGTGTACATGCGGGTACGCAATTGGCGCTGTAATCAATTTTGTATGTTTCAAGGCTAACCTTAGCCTCTTTTGGATTAGCGAGACGGCACGATGTGCGCACCTGCATGTTATAGAAAAAATACAGGCGCTGTTGTGGAGGGCGTTCAGAATATGGATGTTGTACTGTTGGGAGAATCAAGAGCACGGTTCAATTGACGCTTCCTATCATGTTTTTCGTGCACTGTTCTTTATGCCCTCACGTGCACAATCTTCTGTCCATGTATATGCTTGAAGCATGTAGGGTTGCCTGACGAATAGAGATCCTTATGATTCTGAAATATCGCAAAGGCTAGTGAGCAAAGAATTAATATCGAACTTGGAGGACAATCCGAAAAAGCCTCGGCCAGCAGCGCCCGTGCGGCTCTTTCGCGAAGGCTCATACATCCCAAGAAAAGAAAGACAAGAAAACGCCGCGACCTTCTCAATTTCACTGGCCGATTGAGAAGGGGGGGGTTGATGATAAAACGGAGGCATGGAAATTGGGACGAGGTTCAGAAGGAGTGAAAACTGGATTTGATGTTCCCCCTTTCACGCTCCCTCATTCAAGGGGAGTAGACGCTGGTGACGAAGAGGAAGAAGAGTGAGCGGGAATTTGACGCGTTCGCACGTATAAGTCACCTGCTACGTCACCTGCCACTTGTCACTTGGCCTGCGTTTCGTGTTTCCATGAGCAGGAGCGGTGCACATGATGAAGCGCAAGAACATGGAGCGGGGTGAGGAGCTGCCATGTGCACGTATCACACACTCTCACCGTGTTCCTTTGAGCAAGAGCGGTAGGAGCAAATGCTGACGATGAAGCGGAAGAACATGGAATAGCGAGAGAGGAGCTCACGACGTGCACGTATCAGCGCGGTGGTCCACTGGTCCATGGGAATCTCACACCTCTCACCTTTTACGTGCCACCTGTCTGCTTCCCCGTATTCCTTTGAGCAGGAGTGGCAGGAGCGGATGCTGACGATGGAGCGGAAGAACATGGAGCAGCGCGAGGAGCTAACCACGTGCACGTATCAGTGCGGTGGTCCACTAGTCTACGAGAATCTCACACCTCTCACCTCTCACGTGCCACCTGTCTGCTTCCCTGTATTCCTTCGAGCAGGAGCAGCAGAAGAGGATGCTGATGATGAAGCGCAAAGAACATGGAGGCGCGAGAAGGAGGGCCGCCCATCAGTGCGCCAGAGGCGAGCCGCTGACGGTGCTGGCCCTAGATTCGGTGGTGGTGGTGAAGGGGGGGTGGAGGGGGTCGTTAGGGGGTCAGAAGAGGCCGTCCTGTGGGCCCGCTACCTGATGGTACATTCCATTTCGTTCAGTTCTGCCGAATGTTACGTCCAGTAACCCGTTCAGTTTGACCGACTCAAAGGCACCCCCAATTGATGGTCCATCCCAGGTCAGTTTAGACATTCTCACTTTACCCCAGGAGATGACTGTTGAGACCTAGTCAAGATGGGCAATTCTTCCTTTTCTTCCTCCACCTGTCTTTCTTCCAACGTTTGTTTTGTTCTCTTGCTTCCACCAGGGTGGGTCGATTGCCCTTATATGCTCGAGGACATCGGCTTGCTAGTCCCCGCCAATAGACATGTGCATTTTGACGAGCTTTATAACTCTACTGGTTCCCTGCACCCACCTAGGGACGAGCGATGAGTGAGAGGATCGGCCAGAAAACCTGGCCGATTCGAGCCAAGTTTCACTCGACGAGTTTTTACCAACTCGTTCGCGCCCCTTCGTGAGTTTTTTTTGGGACCCGCGACGTTTTTTGGACTCAGCGATTTTCAAAAAATAGTCGTCGCCGTCAGAATCAACGACGCAGGAATGATTGGATTAGTAAGAGTTGGGGTACAAGTACTAACCCAAGAAGTGATGTACCTTAGAAGTG